CCTATCACAAACAATGAAAACTAATTGACTATGCTGCATACTATCTGGAATTTAGAAAGGAGAATTTGTTTGATAATCAGGAGCTTCTAGAATTGGACATCATTTCCTTAATTCTCTTGATTCTAAATATTTGATGCAAGGGTGAAACTGTCAGGAGAAATTAGAAGCCAGTCACTCTTAGGGGAAAGAGGGTTAAGACAGTCCAGTATCAATGGTTCATCTCTCCTCACTTTTGCAGACAGTCCGATATCAAGTACTTATCTCCCTCATGCTGTCAAGTCAAACAAAAGACCAAGTTACTTTTGCTGCAATGGAAAAGTTAAAGGCTTATGAGTTAAAAATAGAGAACATTCTCACAACACCAACAAGCAAAATTGGCCAGTGTAAAGGCTAAAAAAGCTGACGTTTCAAGCATTAGCCCTTCATCAGAGCAATTGGAGGAATTGTGGGTTGTGTGTGGGTTTATACACAGAAAGTGGAACTACACTATTGTTCTGTCACCATATTCTCACCAATAGCATAGCTCCACTTTCTGCAAACTTCCAGGTGTGGGCCCAAAAATGGTGCATATTACCATGAATGTGGCTTGGGGACAAGTGACTGGAATTGGAGTTGATACTCATGTTCATAGAATTTCTAACAGACCAAGATGGGTCAAAAAACGTACTAAACTGCCAGAGGAAACTAGAATTGCTGTAGAAAGCTGGTGAAAAGTGATTTTGAATGATACCAAGTTACACGAATTCTCTTCACCAGGTGTTTTGCTCCTTCCTTGCCAAAGCCTTTTCACTTACTGCCACATTTTAGAGACCCAGCTATTGTGCAAGTTCCAAACAACTTTTACAAATATTCTGAAATGAACAGGCTTTTGTTCCTACCTGACTTTCAAGGAGCAGAATGCAAAAAGGAAAACTTTAAGGACTTTCAGACCTAGGTTCAGGATTCTCTAGATGCATAGCAAACCTTTACTATCATATGCTGTTTACCCATAACCCACAGTTAAATAATTGGAGTGTATGGTTTCAGAGACTAAATTAGTGAATTCTTTTTCTGTTTTGCAGAGAGGAGTGGGATGAACTGAATGTATTGTTGGTTGGATTTGCTCAGCAGACATGTGTTCCTGTAAGTCCAATGTGCGAGTTTTGTCTTAACTCCAAGATCTGTCCTGAAGGTCGAAGAAGGAGCAGAGGAAAAGCTGAGGAGGAAACTAAGAAAAAACTTTCACCCAGAAAGGATAGAAAGGACACTAAGACTTAAGGGGAAATTAAGTTTTACTTTAACAAAGGCTGTCCTTGTCTTTAGCCTTGGGCCATGCATGTTGTGCAAAGCTGGGTTAAGGTAGCCTCATGGTAAGTGTGAAATCTGATATCAGATGTGAACCCTCAAACTCCCAGAAGTGATTCACATGTAACTTCTCCTCACAATATCCGTGCACTATCCAGCAAACATGTAATGAGAAGGTAGAAGTTGTTATCTTGATCTAGCACCAAATTCTCGCAACTAATTTACAAGGAAATGTTAAACAGGTAGAGGAGGAAATTAATAATCAGATCTTGAGAGTTATAGGGTTAAAGCTATAGAAGAAAATTCATTACTGGGACACCTGTGGTAGCCCAGTCATAAAATGCCTTTGTTTTTTTGTCGTCTTTTTTTTTTTTTCCTCCGCCACAAAATGGAAAAATTGCGCAATAGTACCCAGTGGTCATTGGGCCCTCAACACCATGACAACTAACTGTGATCCAATGAGGGTGAAGGTGTTCACATGCTCATCACGTGTTATCTTGATGATGATTGACGTTGTCATGCACGGACAGGTCCGGGTCACATGACGACCACGAGATTTTTGCTTAGAAAACTCTTTTGACGGTCGTTTAGTATTTCAACGTGTTTGGATTACGATCACCTGAAGCACTATAACGCAAACGCTCGAAATACTTACAGACGCATACAAAAGTCGTATTGTTCGCGGCCAACCACACTAAAAGATGTTATTGAGCGGTAATTTTGGACCGGATTGAGTCGCGAACTGTGTATCCGTTGTAGTTTCTGGTGATTTCTGCCCTTTTAAGCTTGCTTTACCATCACTGTTATTCACATCATCTTCTTTTATTACGTTGGTAAAATCTGTACAGACATCACACAAACCAACTCGTGCACAAAGTAAGAAGAGTATATTGAAGGCTTGAAATTATATTACGATCGATTTTCATCAAGAAATGGGCCAGGAATTTTCCACAATAGAGCAAATAACCGTGAAGGCTGATCGAGGAAAAGCGATTGCGTGACGCTCGGTAAGCTGTAAGATGACGTTATTATTTACCAGACGTAAAAATTCTTCAGATTCTCAGTCTGCATTTTGTACCCACTCTGCAGTCTCCAGTCTATATTTTGTATCCGGTCTGCTGTCTGCATTTTGTACTAACAGGTATCTGTGGCACCAATACAGTTTAATTTTGGTTACATTTATTCGTACAACACACATAATCTACCACAAAATACCTGTGTGTGAGGTAATTCGACATTTTCGTTCTTTTCCACGTTAATACTCTTCTTTCCTTTTGTAAGAATGTAGACCACAAGTAATTCACCCACCCTACAAGAAATAACTCTCGCATGCATAGCATGCCTATGTTTTGAAATAGGTATATGCCCTTAGCCAGACTTGAGCTCACTATTTCAGTATACTAATCCGACACCCGTAGTATCACTACAGTTGATTCCAAGGATCCAGTACCATCCAGGTATCCCAGTTACCCTGCTCACAGGGTCTAGTTATAATTTGTTTTGTCTACGGATTGATGATTGGATGCCTTTAAAAGAATAAAGAAAATTATCCAAAAAAGGCTTTTTAACAAAGCAGTAAGGAAACCTGAATTAAAATTTAACCCTGGTTTGGACTTTCTGGTCTTCTGGATCCCACGCACTACCACGACCACGAGATCGACAAAACTAACACACAAGGTCATAGTCCTTGTGCAAATTTTAACTTTATTAACTTATGCCTATTGTGTCACGATTGTTTGGACCTACCGCGAAGATCAAAGATATCCAAGGTCAAGCAAAGCTTAGCAAAGGACGGAAAAGACCAGAAGACAGTATCACAGCTGCCCTGGTTTATTGATTTTTGGCAGGACTCTATTTTCTTTGAATGTCTGATACCCTTCTAGGTCAAAGAGCGTTCACTTATCACAAAACTCCGATTAGTAAGTCTTGTAAATCACGCGCTTGTAAAAAAAAGCAAATCACGCATCATATTGTGATGTCCGGCCCCGCATCACGCGGATAATTTGGGTACAATCACGCGTCACCCATCAAATTTTGGGGCCATCATGCGTCACTCAAAAACCCTTTGCCATCCTCTGTGAAGGCTACATTAGTTCATGCCCAGATCTCCTCGTCGAGCTCCTTGCATCCTGAAGTTGACCTATAGTGATTATAGCAGTTTTGTTCAGTTATGCCTCACTTTCATCTCAGAGAAATTTAGGTCAGAATGAGAAGCCCAAGGATGCCAGAATGGACCAAGCCTTGCATTGGGATTAACCTCACCACACTGGTTTGCCCACCATCCACCATGAGGAAAACACTTGCCAGAGTAGTTGTCGTTATCTTGGTCTGGTGTGCCGAATCTCATCCTTCGAGTGTTCAATTTAGGATTTGTCTTACCATAAAATCCATTTCCGATGTTTCCTTCGTACGAACTCATGTCGCATCGATACTTATCTGTTTCGTCAGCTACCCGAAACTCACCATATTTAGCATATCCCTTTTGGCCGTTGGTTCGGTGCAGCTCTATTCGAAGAATGCTGTCGGAAGAGGCGATTCGGTGCAAGTTGTCGTTTCCA